AAAGTTGACTACAGTTAAAAGAGAGTAACTAGTTTTTACAGAACCTGACAGCATTTCACTCTCCTCCTGTTACAATTAGAAAGTTAAATATGGGACAAAATAGGTAAATGCCCCAAAATCATCTCTGAGCTACCGAATTCTTTGAAGCTTGTTAAATGGAGACAATCTGGACAGCATCTAAGAGATTAACCAATATGTATATTTGTACAAGAAGAGGAAGTTTTGGAGCAGTCATGTCATTGTATAAAGCTTACTAGCTTCCTGGAAAATGGCTTAAGCCTAAGTGGGGGGAGGAAATGCTAGATTGTGCCTTATACTATAAATTACTTCAGATAATCTCATTTTTTCACTTAAGAAAATGTTCTTACATAACCATTTGGGACAAGGAGTGTCTCTTGCTACAGATTTGAGCAAGTATTTAGGATAATGGGATTGCACCTTGGTAATACTGCAATGAATTATTATAACTATTTTGTATTTATGAACATCTTATGCATACTCATAGAATGTTTCTTTTCCTATGTTATTTATACAGAGATACTAAGTGCAGCAAAATTGCATGAATGCCCCAGAGCTTGTTGTTGTACACATAAAAGCTTATTCATTTAAATTGCACATATTTAGAGAGGGCTTTTGGATTCTCCTTGTTAAAAATAGCTTGGTACAGAAATACCCAGGGAAATTAGGACTGGAGGGCACTTTTAGGGTTGTCTATACAAGAAATGGGGTCATGACCTCTTCTTTCTCCCTGAGGGTAAATACCATGGTGCAGATGAATACTTTTCCCCCATGTATGAAACCCTTGTCCATAGTGGTTGTTGAGGACAGTCTTTGGAGATTATGTCCTCAGGACAGGGACCAGAGCAGGGCTGAGCTCTAATGGGTACAGCCCTGGTGGCTTAGTGAGTAGCTGGCTATCAGTGCTTGAGCCTTCTCCTGGCCATTGAGGGCTTAGGGTGATAGGTGTAGCTTGAGAGACTCCTGGTTCAATTTGTTACCTTCAGGCTGCTCTCTGTGGAGAAATAAGTAAACAATAAATATTTTCCTTCTTCTTTCTGAAAAACCTTTGAAGATGTGGATTACACAGTCTCCCTAGGCAGCATATTTTGTTGTTTCTCTATCCCTACTGTTTGAAATGTTTTCAGCACGTTTAATCAAAATCTTTTAATTGCTTCAGTTTAGGCTCATTACTCCCTGCACCCACCACATGAGATCCAGAGCACATTATTTCCCCCAGCTTTATCAACACATCTGCATTTTATAAACAGAATACTTCTGTTTCCTTTAGACTTTCCCTGTGTGTCTTTAAGATGTCTAATCATTCCAGTTGCTTCTCTTCAATTTCTACCAAATTGGTCCAATCTCTTCTGGAGTATAACAGTCTTAGCAAGTGAGAATTAAAAGTCCTTACCTGCAGAATCTTGCACAGTTAAACTTACCTTGTGTCTCATATGCATGACATACCTCTTTATACACTCCACTGCAATGTAGCTTTTTTCAGCACAGCATGTTTTTGACTCATGTTCAGTCTGCAGATCCCTTGTTGATCCTTGTGGTAGAACTGCTGTCAAATTCACATTTTCCAGTTGTGTATTTGTGTAGCTGACTAGTCCAGATGAATATGGAGTGTTTGCATTTCTTTTATTGAATTTCATCCTGTGATATACATATAAAACTGATTAACTGGTTTTACTGCAGTTCTACATATTGCTGATCACCTGTCTTCAATCCTGCACCCTCCCTGTTTTTATTTAGTAGATCCTGAGGGACGCCTTAGAATATCCAACAACTTGAAAAGTACTCTTCTAAAAATCTTTCAGAAAGGCACCTAAGTCGTATTGTTCTATTTCTGCTCCTTGTTTTGTTCTCTATTCAAGCCCTAGCTAATAGCTTCCACCAGCAAGCCTTCTTGATTGTTTATGGCTCCTCCTTCAAAACGGCATTTAGCTTGAAAGAGCGTGCACCAGGATGGCATCCATTACTTCATGTTTTTAACGTGCTCTTGGCATCTTTTGTTATAGCCTGAGAGGGCACAGGTTCTTTCTACGCTAAACAGCCCAGTAGGGTTCCTGCTTTCCCAAAGGAGGTAACTAAGGACTTAGAAATCAAGCATGTCTACCTGATATGCAACCAAGAACAGCCAAGTTTTAGCTGCCAGTTTTCAGACAATCTGCATACATGCTTCTGCAGAATGCATTAAGAAGCAGGGGTGAGAGAACCTGAGGAAAGCAGGACTATCGGCATCAAAAATTCTAAGTCATTACTTTCAGTACAGCTTTTTCTTTTGTTGCTTCCCAGATTCAAGCACCTAAATTCCATCACTCACCACTAACTGCCAAGTGAAACAGGTAAACCACATTATGTCCCTCCTGTGCAGACTGGCCAAGTTATGCAGAATAACATATTATCATTCTTCATTATCTCTTGAGTGCAAGTGAAATGGAGTGTGAAGCAAAGGTGACAGGTACTAGTCTGGGAGATGACTGATCCTGACAATTATCAATTTTGATATTAATGTCTTGCTCTCTAACCCATACTATCTTTTAATATTTTTGCTTATCTCTTTTTATGAACTAATACAAATACTTTCATTTTCTCCCTTTGCATTTTACCAAAGGGTTAATACTTCTGTGTAAAGCAGAGTGGGATTCAAGGGCAAAACAACAATCAATATTACTAGAGGCTGTGGGATGTTAATTGTCCAGCCCTGCTTCCTGGTTTGTTTTGCTGTTGGCTTTTTTTTCAAATCTTTGCCTTTATTGATTTCCTACCTCCCCACTAATCCCTTCCAGAAAAAGGATGGCTGTCACATCTTTCTAAATAAAAGTGACAGCTTGGATGGTAGTGCTCAGGTGAACAATCATAGGCTATTTGTACCTGGAATTGCTGATGTTATTGAGGGCAAGTGCAAGTAAACAGAGGTTACCCACTTCTTTAGTTGCTACCTATCCTCCACACAAAGTGCCACGACAGCACAGTCTGTGCATCCTAACACGTCTGAACAGCGGCACCAGAGATGCTTAGAGGTGCTGTATCTGACACTTGAGAGCTCTCTGAATTTCTGGCTGCTTTCTGAGACACAACACTGGGCACCCAGACTGCCTGCCTTTGCACACTGTGGCCCTTCCACAGAGACCTCCTGCTCTAAAGGACCCTGCATCCTTTCCCACCACTGCTGCTGCAACTGGGAGAGACTGCTCCATTGGACAGCTGGTATAGAGGGGTCCTAATGAGCCTTCTTGTCTGGGAGCAGCTACAGAGGTGTATCATGTGGTCCTAGACTATGTGGGTAAGGTGAGAGTTTGGAGGAATTCCACCACAGAGATATGGCCACCACTGGCAGATTCAGGGCATTGTGGTGTCTAGCCACTGCTGGCGTAGGGAAGAAGTGAGGCTACAGACACATTCCATACTTGGATCTCTGCTCTGAGACAGGAAGAAATTGTCATTGTGCACATTTTGTAGCAAATAATGAATACATGTGTAGAAATTTATTTTTCCCTCTATTTTTTCTCTCTCATGTAGCACTTGTACCTGAGTATATCTTGGTCAGTGTAACTTAAGCATATCAAACACTCTCCTCCTGAAATCCAAATCTTCCAAAGTTTCATTATCACAATCTCAAGCTATAAACAGATCATATTCTAAGCAAAAGGGACCAGAGCAAGCACTTCAATTTAACAAATATTTGCTTTGTGCCATTGTTTTATCTGACTCATATTATTAGAGTTACTGTTTTGACCACAGGTAAAACAGCAGCAGGTTGAGCAATGATCCACTGTTCTTCACAAGGAAGAAAAAAGGACAAAGTAGCCCCTGGTAACAAACATTTGTATGAGCCAGACTGTGATGAGCTTTGCAATAAAGGCAAAACAAATGAAAAAAGTAGGGATTTGGAGCATCAAAAGGATGACTGCAAGAACAAAAAGTCACCAGTGCTGAGAGTGATAGATTGACACAAACACTGTGTCTTTGGAGTATGGAATATCAATATTGCAAACAGATGAAAAGCAATTATAAATGAAAACAAAATCATAATATATCTAGAAAGACAAGAAAGTTACCAGTCAGAAGAAGGGACATTAATTAGGACATGCAAAGTAGGTAATCACTTAGAGACACAAAGCCCATTAACAGCTCATAGCCCCAAGCTAAATTCAAATAGGAGACTCAAAAATTACACTTATACATGGTCTGACACACATGGGGTACTGCTGTGATGAAAGCAAAACTTAGTTCTGCAGTGGTTTATGAAGTATGGCAGTATCCCCCTGAAGTGCTTTGGTTTACTGATGAGGAAGATGGCAACATTGGTCCAGACAAGGCAATGCTCAACCACGACCCCAGCACCCACACCACAGAGGTAAGAACTCCTCTGAGCTGAATGGCATGTTAAGGCTCTTCACAGATGAACCACTTTTCTTACACAAAAATAACATAATTTAGCTCAGGATGGTATCTTTAGACTGCTCAGATGCTGTCACCAGGCACAAGACAGACTATCTGGTTGATGGAAGGTTCCAACAATGCAAAAGAGAAGCCCTGCAATAGTGAATCTCACTGGTGAGCCTGGAGCAAAGCCTCACAGCTCACCAAAAAGATACCACACAGAGCTTTTGAAAGGCAGGGTTAGCCAGTAGTCAAAGACTGTCTGGCCTTGCAAAAATAATGGAGTCTATCATTATACACCTAGGAGATTCCCTGGCAACTCTTGAGTATTTTGTTAACAAGACAAGGAATACAAGCATGAAATTACTCCTGTGATTCTGAGAACATGTAAAAGCAAATGTGCATTTCAATAAGGAAATAAAATCACCAACTGGTGTGAAGTTTGCAGCTTTAAACAATTCTGTGTTGCTGAAAATCTCCAGCCATGAGTCTTCCACTCAGCCCTTCATTTCTTCATGAACACATCATGTGAGGTAGAAACCACCAGAACTAAACTCACGTGAATCCCTGAAAGACAAACGCCTCAGGAAAATAACAAATGCTGAAGAGTATGAAATTTCATGACACATACTGGTTTATTTCAGAGCCCAGCAACTATTATTTCCAAAGTTGTTCAGAAAAAAGCTTGGAAAAACATAAGAGAAGTTGCTATGAAGCAATGGAAAGCCATGGAGAAGACTCAAGCTGCAGGGGTCCTTCCTTCTAGCATCCTCTGGGGAAGGAAAACCTGTGGAGAGCAGCATTACAAAAGAGGTCTTAGTTTTGGCCATTGTAGTATTTGACAGCATAGGAAAATGGGTATTCAGACTATCACTGGAGATAACAAATCTAAAGTTCATTTCCTAAATATCAAGGGTGCCTGATAGCCACAGAAATGAGTTTATGCTGACATTCGTGGCCAGCACTGGTGGGAAGTATCAATTGTTTAGGAAGAAAATACATGTGCTGTCATACAGGGTTACTAAAGATGAAAAGGCAATTAACACTCAGGGCCTTGAATCCCTAAGGGTCACTGCCTAAGCCTCCTGAAAAATTAGTCCTTATGTTCTGTATTATTTTCTTTGAAAGACAGATTAGGACTGTATGATATATACATGGGAAGTGGATGCAGCTTCATGTTGCTTACATTCACAAGAGATTCCCACATCCACTCTTTGGGAAGTAACCTAAGGAAGTGCAGGTTATGCAAGTGTTCCTCTGCCATTGGTGTTTCCTACTTCATGCTATGTCTGTTCTTTACTTATCCTGTCCTTTGATACAATGCTCTTGTGAGAGAGATTTAGACATGATCACATTGAAAGAGCGCAGTATTTCAGAGGTGTAGTATTTTATCTCCCCTTTGGCTTTATTGATCAACCATTAGCTTTAGATTAAATGCTGCACTGTGATTTTTATTCAGTTGCTGAAAGAACCTTGTCTATGAAGCCTAGTCTCTTATGCCTTGAATCCATTCCTTAACTTAGGTCTAAAACTAAGGCTGAAGTTTTGTGAAGGATTGTCTTTCCCCTGCCACATTAGCTCTTGCCTTTGTTATGGGTGTAACCATTAATGGTTCCATTGTGGTATGGAGAAGTATTTGTGAGGAAACTTCTCTCTCCAAGAAATGCTCTCATATGCCTCCAGCCACTCAGGAGTAAAGTAGAGATTGTGCCCACATTGGACTGCATTGCTCGTTGCCAGGACATTAGCAGATCTAAACGTTTTTGCTCAACTTTGACTTTTAAACAACTAGTTCTTTCTTTCAAATGAAGCAAAAATCATTGCAGAAAAGATTCTTGGCAGCAGTTTTTGCTCTGGCTTCCTGAGGAATGTGCTCGCTTTAAAAACTGAATGAAAAACCAATGGCACATAAAACTGCCTCATGACAATGCTGGCAGTTCTACCAGTTTCTCATCCACCCACATTTACCAAGGACTATGCATTATGTTAGAATTGTAACTTTGAAATGATAACCTCTGAGGACATGCTTTTTAATCACTAGTACCTCATTTTCCACTTTCAGAGTGTTGTGGAAGTGTTATTTGAATAGCGGGTACCAGATTTTAAATGTCTGCAGTGATTACAATATCCTGGTAGTGATAGTATCAGAAAAGTCCTTCAGCTGAGACCTTCCAGATTCTCACACTCAAAGAAAATATTTTAGCCATCTGTTCACCTGATTTGTGCTACAGCAGAAAAGAAAAAGCTCAGTATTTTCCAGTCAGCTTAGGTCCAGTGTTCTTTTGGCTTCAGAAAACATCCTATTATGGTGAAAGTTTGGGTATTCCTACTTTGTATCTCACAGAATATATCCCAATTATGATGCTCAATATGACTTTAAAAAGCCTCTTAAGCAATATTGACATTCTTTCACGTTAATTTTTAATTTTTTTTCTCAGCAACTGTAGACATCAACCAGTCTACAAAGATGAAAATGTTCCTGCTCTGAATAGAAAAGTTTTAAGTTTTGTGGCTGACTTCGTCAGCACCAGACTTCCAACATGACATGCAGAGCTGAAGACCCAAATTATAGGCCACTCCAAACACAAAAGTTCTAAAAACAGCCACTCCCCTCTTTCAAAAACTCTTTTGTATTCTTTCTGGTTTCTCTAAGAACAAGTTGTTGATGATGGTATTTTCCTACTGCATTTACACAAGCCCAGAGTTATAAAAGCCAGGCAGGCAGCACTACCCAGCTGGAAGTTGATATTGACTTGCGTAATGGCTGCCCTGTGAATAGGGCAGACTTCTTGCATAAACTCAGATTTGTGGGATATGACTTTTTCTCAAGCTCTGCTTGCAGCCCAAGCTTCAAGCGTGGTGATCTACACTGGTACCTAGTTGCAGTTGCTCAGTATCTCTGAAAATCGTGTGGTCCCTACACGCCGATAAGGAGCTTAACTCCATATGCTTTGCTTTGAAAAACTAGGGCTTTTTTTAGATGAAAATCTAAAAGCTATCATAGCATTTCAGAGCAGTAATAAGATTTTATCAGGTATGATCCCTTTAGTAGCACAATCTGTGTTTTAACTAAATAGCATGATGAGGCTCAAACGCCTCACACTAGCCTCTTTCTCGAGTGGTGTGTCACATGCTGAGAGCAGAAGCTGAAATGACACGGCCACCATGCCAAACAGCAGCAATGATCTGACTGAAGCAGATCTACCCAGGCACATGTGGCTGGTTATCCATGCCTCCTTCCTCCCTGCTCCTTGCTGACTTAAGACATCCACCCCTAGGGCAGTGTGGACAGGAGGTGGTTCCCACATTCATACCCAAAGCCAAACTTGGGACACCAGGCACTTCCAGTCCCAGGTCTGCACATGCAAGAGCTTGACTTCTGCCCTTGCCACAGGCGAACCTCTTTGCAAATGGGGATGGTCTGGCGTCCCTAACCAGCGCTGTGCTATGTTGGCTGCTTCTTGCAGTCATAGGCACATTTTGGTGTGTAGGATGGGCCATCAGTGATTTCACTCAGTCTCTCCTGAGAGACATGAAGCTGCTGAAAGCACTGATGCTAAGCTGGGTGTTTTAGAAAGCCATCTCCACGTGGCTAATCGTCACACTGATTGGTGATAGTTTGAAATATTTGCTGTTGGAGTTCACTATCCTGAAATCATTACGCGCACCCACGCCCACACGCACCGCGAAGTGAGGAAAACGATCGCGTTCAGCGTTCCAGTGCTGCAGGTATGCAACGCACACGAACGCAGTGTGCGTGACGGGGCAATGCTGCATTTCCTTCTAGAAAAAGAAAAGTCATAAACCCCCCAGCGGGCGAATGCTCCCGGGCAGCGCCCTGCCGCGGGCACAGCCGCTCCGCCTCCGCCGAGGAGCGGCAGCCCCGAGGCTCCGCCGCGGCACTCTGGGCACTCCGCTACAATCCTCCGTGTTGTGTTGTGCCGTGCCGAGNGCCACCTCCAAATGACATTCCCGGCCCGCCGCCCCCACCCTGCCGCTGCCCCGCGCCTCTGTGGTGCCCCGGCTCAGGGAATGCTGAAAGGTGCCCCATGCCCTATAGAAAGGGTGTCCCCCGTGCCCTCCCGAGGTCAATGGGAGGGGACCGCCCTTTGGGGACGGGCGGTGGCTGCCGCACGGCCGGGCATGGAAGGCTCCTTCTCCTCCGGGGGTACCCGGCGGCTGCGGCAGCTCCGGGAATACCAAGAGGTTCGCCCGCGGCGGTGGTGGAGGGAGCCGCTGTCCCCGCAGCCTTCCAGGGCAGGGCGGAGCGGGGCTCCGAGGCGCCTTCCACGGGCTGGGCGGGCGTCACTCTCCGTTAGACGAGCTGGCCCAGCGCCGGGGAGCTCGGCGGCTGCAGAGCGTGTGCTGGGCACAGGGCGAGCAGGGACGGAGCGGGACATACGCGGGGGCTGTGCGGAGGCGGCTGTTGTAGAGGAAAGACTCCGGTGCGGGTACGGTCCCCTCTGGATCGTGGTTCTGCGTTGCTCCGACCTACAGGAGCGGGGTAGATACTGGCCGGGAAATCGCAGTGAGCAATTCAGAGATCATTAGGACGAGAATCGAAAACACTGGGGGCTTGTTCATACCTGATTTGTACGTATCAAATCTGTTTTTCTGTTACTCTGGGCAAGAGGGAGTGTCGCCAGAATGAATTCTCTTTCGTAGAGGACAGATGAGCAGGAGGATGTTTCAAGATTGTTCAAAGGAATGACAACTGTTGTCTTCCTTGTGATGTTGTAAGTAAAGGAAGTACCAGTACTTTGTTTTGTCAAAGCTTCATTAAAAATGTAGACTTTGTTATCCCCAGTGGATAGTGTCTCCCACCTCGGGTATTTACTCTTATAAAGGATCAAAACCTTAGGGCTAAAGTGAGGTTCGCACATACTTTTCCCGTTAGTAGTCTAAATCACTTTTGTTAGAGAATTCTGAAGTGAGATTTGTTGAAGCCAGATGTGAATTTTGCAACTAGCATGTCCAGGAGCCAACATCTCACTCCTGAGCATGCTGGAGCTGGGAAGAAAAGAGCTTGACAGTCCTTGAGGTGTGGATGTCTTGAGTGGGTGTGAAAATATAAATAACCTGAATGGAATATCTAGCACGCACATAATACAAATGTTTAAATGAACTCCTTTAATCTCAAAAGTGATTTATTGTCAAATATGTTAGAATGACACATAAAAAATGTTCATGTGTCAAGTTAAACCTCCTTCCTAACTGTTCACATCCATGAACTGTGGGAAGGAAAGATACAAATGGAAACTCCAGTTAAAAATGATAAAAATAAGCAGTTTTTAGTCTTTGTCTTGGTGTGACTTGCCTCTCCAGTCTCATGACTTGTTTGGCCGCATGGCCTGTAGGCTGTGAGGATTTTTCTGAGGCCGGAAGTGTTTGCAGTTGTTTGTGTGAACTGATGATTCTGTGCCTGTGCAGGCTGATAACGTAGTTAGTGTGTGGCCTGCTGGATGTGTCCTCAGGTTTGACTCTCACTGTTCAAAAACACCAGGCCTGTTTGGGCTGGGTGCTTTTACAAGCGAACTTGTTCTGGTCATATGAAACATAGGAAAGGATGTGGGATATAGGACCGAAGCAAAGCCCAATGGAATTGTTGCTGCTCTTTACAATATTCAAATCACAGGCTTGTTGGAGGAAAACCATTGATTCTTTCACGTGTTATAGTTGTTGCTTCTAACTAAAGTAGAAGGAGGTCTGCTTTAGAAGGTCTCTATTAAGGTGGAGACCATATATAGCTGCATAAAAACAACTTGTTTGATGATTTAATTTCTGAAGTGACTTTTAGGGGTAAAAGTGGTTTAGCATAACAGTGGTTTAACAAAATGTTTTTAGATTTGAAGGCCAAGGGCAAAATGTTCAAGTCCTCTTCTGCTCTTCTTTGCTGTTATGCATGAACTCTATCCAGAGTCAGCACAGATGATGGTAGTGAAAAGGTCAAGCTATTAATATGCTATCAGAATAAAATTGAAGATGTATGATGAGTGTAGTGATTAAAGACAATAGCAATTTAATGCAAGATGCTTTGCTTGAATCTGCTTGCATTACTTCTAGGCTTAGAGATGTAGCTCTCAGGCTGAAATTTAATCACCTATGCAGACAGTTAATAACCCTGTCTGAGGGCAGGTTGGGAGGGGGTTGGGAATTGCTCACTTCAACTTCTGTGGAAGATCTACAGTAACTTCCCAATGCAATGACATTTAATTTCTGTAACAATCTAAAATCTTCCAGGTTGTCAGAAATAGCCATTGAATTTTTAATCCTGGAAGAGCTAACCAGTGTCAATGTTTCATTGCTATTCTGATTCAGAGCTCTATTTCTAAGAAGCCATGCACTTCATTTCTGGGAAGAGCAGAAATAAATAGAGGGTGCTTGCAGTTTGGTGCACTGAATGTAAGACTCGCATGTCTCTTTGTGGGACTGCATAAATGTAGTGCCTGCTCACTGTTTTCCATTTAAATAATGTTTGCTATTATGCTGAAATTCATCAGTAAGTGGATACTTGCAGAAAGACTCCCTTTATTCAAAACTAAACATGTACTCATAGTCTCTCAAGTACTTGCAAGTTAAGTCAGCTATAAGCCTGTCTTGGCGTGGTGACAACATTTAGGAGATGAGGTTAGGAAATAATGAGACAGGTTTGTTTGTGTTCTTTTTCTAGTGGATCTTGTCTTTACTGGTACATCTTTAGTTTTAAAAATTGGATGCCAAGTGATACAATGATGTTGGGGATATGACTTAGAAGGAGATATTTGAGACTATTTTTAATGCAGGGCTCAGTTATATGACACAGAGATTAGCTTTAGAAAGGTTACTTCCACATCATACAGACTTTAGGGATAAAAGACCCTTTACCTGAATAGTAAAGGTTATCAAGGTGGAAAACTTTAATAGGACCAGAGAGACTTAAGCAGGATTTGTTTGGCACCAGAACCTGCCAGGCTAATGTACTCAGGTCTGGTGCTTCAGGTGAGTATGGATCTGTCTGTTTGCTTCTGGGACTGCTTCATAAAAAAAAAAGTTTTATAACCTGTTTGTTCTGGTTTCTGTGAATGCTGAAACTGAGGTTATAGTTGCAGGTTAGTATATTGAAAATGCAATCCCTTAACTGCAGGACTTGAACTGGCTTCAGTGTTGACCTTTATTAGGGATCTTGGTACTAAATATAATTTCTTCACAGATGCTTTTATTTTGGGCTAAATCCATTATTGGTTAGGAATTGCAGAATAAGGCTGCACAGAACAACTTACATCATCACTATTCATTCTCTGATGGTTTGCAACTTGTAGTTCAGCATGAAAATGGTGACAGACCAGTTTTTCAGATGTATAATCTATGTTGTGTGCACCTGCCAAATTTGTATGACTTTATATATGGAAAAAAGAGACCACTGGACTTCTCCCCAGAAACCATTCAGTTCTGTGGGTGAATTTCTGTGCTCTAGGGTCTTGTCTATCTGGAATTATAGCATTTGCTACAAATGGCACACAGATTTTTGCACAATACTGAAGAAAGATTTTGCTTGTGCTATGGGTTTGTTGCTGAATGTTTTTTAATGTAGAGATTTGCATGTGCAAATCAAGTGAGCCCCTAGACTTGGCACTCTAAAAGCTGAATACCTTGCCTTCTGAGATGTTGCTGAGTTTAGCTGAGTAATCAACTATTTTATTAGAGTATGTCTAATGATGTATGGAAGTCAGTGCTTGGCAGGGGATATGATATTGGTCTGGAAGTACCAGAGTGTTGTGTCCAGGCTTATTTTTCCATTCCAGGAATGGAAATTCCCTGAGATTGCATTTAAAAATTCACTGTAAAATAAAATACAGTTGGAAGGGCCCATGCATAAAGGCCCTTCAGGCATTTCCTTTGAGAGAACAAATCCATGTCAGACTGAGAATTGTTATGTGTAAGATTTTCTTCTGTCTTCTGGTACAAATACTGCAATGACAAGAGTGGTATAAAGCACTGAAATGGGTAAGGGATTTCCTGTTGGCAGTGGATGGTGGGAGTGAAGGGAGCCATTTAACTCAGTCCTGCATGGATCAGGAGCTTCCTTCGCCTGGTTGCTCAGTGACTGCAGAGCTGGAGAACACCCTCTTTGTCTTCCTGAAACTGCTGGGATATGCTAGCATTTCCCTCCACACACTGTCTTTTCCAAAACAGCCTGGTCAGCATGCTGCTGAGGCTGCCATATGGTGATGTGGACCTGGTGGTATGATCAGGTACTACTTACGCCTCAGGCTCTAGTGAGATAATGTTTGGAATTCTTCATTCGTCTCTCAGAAAGGCATTTGTTAAGTAAATCCACTGAATAAAACACTACAGAAACGAACTTTTGCCTACAGTCTCACTCTTTGAATAGATTTCTTCTAACTTGGACTGAGATCTCAGAAATGGTAATTGCATGTGGATTCCCTTCGCAGTAGATTATAAGTGGAAAGAGGCTGAGAAGGATCTGAGAACTAGAGAGAGTGTCACTCTAAAAAGATGCAAGTTAGTAGGAGGCGTAATAAAGGATTTCTTTCTTCGGCAGATTGAATGTTACAGTTTAGATGCATTGGAGTAATGTACTTGTAGGTATACCAAATTGCTTAGAAATTTATTTGGATTATTAATTTTGGATGGCTCTTACAGATCTCCGTGTTGTACAGCACAAACTTTGGTGTCCTCTCTTGAGAGCAGGGATAACTGTACAACATACTTGTGTCAGCTGAAGGGTTGCTGTGATGAGACCTGTAAAGGACACAGGAAACACAGGCATAGCAAAGGCTCATTCTATCGTGTATCAACCACAGAAATGTATTTGAATCCCAAGAGCAGAAAATGGGAAGCCTAAGAAACGCATGTTGTTTTAAAACAAACCTTGTGAAATGCATGCAGTTCTTGTTAGAGGAGTAGGCATAAGATCTGTGAGGGTCGAAAGCACCTGATGGTGATAAAGCCAGAGCCTTTTGTTTCTAAATGAACTTCTTAACATCTCGACTCAAGTTCTAAAGACCCTTCTCTAGCAGGAAATATACTACTATTCAGCTACTGAACTTGCCTTCTTTTTGCATGCAAAATGTGTAAAACACTGCAAAGGAATGTAAGGACAGAAGTTCATCATAGTCAAGTGCAAGGTTCTGCACAGAGAGGCAGTCCTAATCACAAATACTAGTGGGGTGGAGAATGGACTGAAAGCAACCCTAAGCAGAAAACTCGGGGGTGTTGGTTGACAAGAACCTCAACATGAGCTGGTGATGTGCACTTGCAGCTCTGAAAGCCAGTTGTATCCTGGGCCATGTTAAAAGCAGCATGGCCAGCAGATCAAGGGAGACAGTTCTTCAGCATTTACTCACTCTTGTGAGACCCCACCTGGAGTACTGCATCCAGCTCTGGAGCCTCTAGCATAAGAAAGACATGGACCTGTTGGAGTGAGTCCAGAGGAGGGCCATAGGGATGA